ATCAATCCCTAATTTTAAGTGACCGCTATGAAAAAAAAATCCTGTTGTGTTGTCCTTGGGTCACTTAAAAAATAGGGATTGATGGGGAAAACGGGCATAGTTAAGTATCTTGAATCAAATCGTACCCGCTACCACTCGCTCCACTCCCAATCACATTACCAGCACGTAACACGGTTGTTCCAAATACTTAAACGTATACCATATTATAATTACCGCGTATCAGAAGGACTCAAAACTAGACTACCATGTCTACTTGTCAGAGGATGCAAATGTCGCAATAATTTTAGACCTATTCAATATCTACTTAGTTCGAAAACTTTGAAACTTTTCAAAAATCTTCAACATTATAAATCTCACTCCATTCCAACTCCGAACCTTTCCATTTATTTCGTTGTATTGACAGTTAACTTTCCCCCGGGACAAATTTAACCTACACTGGTTGGATTTTTATTGGCGGTCAAGTTGTAGATCCTGGCATAGGAGAAGGTGGGAAACAGTCCCGTAAAATCTCAGTCCATAATCGAAGGCGTAACCTCACAGATTTGTAGCGTTTTTCTATTATAAATTACATCGTACTCATATAGGGTATTGGCCCGACAAGTAACTCGCCGGTAAAGCAATAGCGGGCAAGGTCTCGATACACATCTCTCAGGGTTTTAGCTATCGGACCGACGATATTTTACATGTATTTATTTACTACGTGTATAATAATAATGTTTGTACACTTCGGTAGATTTGTAGAGATATTGAAGTTTCATAATGAAAATGAAAAATCTTTGTTCAAATTACACCAATTTGTAACCTGCGGCCGCCCGCGACTTCTTACGCATAGATCCCATTTTAACCACTTGGGGGTGGAGTTTTGTAAAATCCGTTCTTAGAGAGCACCTACGTTCTAAAAGGATCCCCACGCAAAATTTGAGACTCCTAGCACTTTTAATTTTTGAGATTTTGTGAGGAGTTAGTGAGTCAGTCAGTGACCTTTTGCTTTTATAGATGTAGATTGAAAATATTATGTACAGTTAATAAAATAAATATTTATCAACCTCGTTTCAATCGAATGATTAGGGCAAAAGAAAATTTTATTTACGAGTATAAATACGTTTATCTAATTTCTAAGCTCTGTAGTAGTCATATTTGTGTGTACACGAACTAATAAGTAACTAGTAGTCAAGCAAGTTTCATTTATTTACAGGGTGTAAAAAAAAGTAGTGTCAAGCCGAAGTCAAGAGGTAGAGCATCACTAGGGCTATTCAAATCACCATGTATGTTCCGCGATTTTTGATAGTTTTCGAGATAAGATTGTTTTAAATTTCTGTGCTTAGGCACCTTTTTGTTCACTGTAGCGCGAATAGTCAAGTTACATGCCTGATTTTTTTATTATTATTAGATGAATATTAGGCCTAGCTGATTCAGAAGTATTTACATCCATAACACGAATGTACACTAAAATCCTGTAAGTATATTGTAAAAAAAACATAACTCAAAAACTATCAAAAGTTGCGGTGATTTTGGTAGCCCTAGTGATGCTCTACCTCTGTGCTTCGGCTTGACACTACTTTTCGGGACACCCTGTATATGTTTCTTTTAATGTATGTTTTACCCAAAACAATCTTTTAATATTAATAATTACTAATTCTAAAGTCATCTCTACGTCTAGAGTCAAATTACGGAAGCAATTTTTTCAATCACTGACAAAATTGAGCGACAAGGAATCAACTACGCGGCTTCTTTTATCCAATTTCTTTTTACAACTAAATAACCTATCTTTATTTGTCTTTGTTTTTATTCTATTCTAATTGTTAACATTCTTACGGCCGAATACTGAAACGCCATTTAAATATTTGACGGCTTCTCAAATAGTTAAGCAGCTCCTAAACTTACATTTCGCATACTCAAAACAATATCTGAGCAGTTCTCAATTTTTAAGCACCTCTCAAATTAAGTTGCACTCAAACGCCACTTAAATGAATTTTCGCATACTGAAACGCCATTCAACGCTAAGCATTACTCAAACAACTGTCAAATCGTCTTGAGCAGCCGTTAAATTTGAGAGTGCTTGCGCGGTATCTTAAATCCTATTCTTATACCTAAATTGACCTAAATAGTGGTAAATAATGTGTGTCATCGTTATCATTTCTTTCGAGCCTCGAGGAAATACCTAGATCTAATCGCAGGAACGCAATAAGGCTGAACGCTATTGAAAAATATTATTATAATGACATGCAATTCCGAGCGAGGTTCCGCGTCCCTAAAGAAACGGTGTTGTTTCTGGATTCATAATTTGGAAGCTCTTTGAAACCCCTCACCAAATGCCATACAACCAGTGGACCAAATACTTATTATAACCCTACTGTTCTACGCAACGGGAAGTTATGAACGTGTACTAGGTGATATCTTCCACATCTAACAGCCAACTGTGCATCGTATAGTGCACGAAGTAACAACCAAAATAGCTGCTATGAAATCGCTTTACATAAACATGCCTATTTCTGAGGATTAAGGGGACATCGCATAGCAGCATTTCCAAGAGTTGTTGATTTGTCAATTTGATGCTCTGTCAGTCAACAATGATAAATGTCAATTGTGGTTACGTTTCGGTCCACGATCGCCACTTAATAGATTTCAACAATAAAAAGTATCACATTTAAAATTATTTTTTTAATTAAATAAAAATGCAAGCATTAATTTTTTTATATGATAAAACGAGATTTATATATAATAGAAACTAAAAATAAACTGTTCTATGTTAAGTTGATTGAGTATATTTCCATAAAAGACAATACATAACCAAACGATGCTGCGTGTAATGGATAAAAGACGTAAAGTTATCATTTGTGTAAATGAAAACATACTTTTTTTGGTAAATGTTGCCATTATGTAAACATTTGAGAGCTGCTTAGCTGATCACGGCTTCAAATCCGTTGAGTAGCGTTTGAGAATACCATTTAAAATTGAAGGATACTTAAATTTAGGAGCCCGTCAGCTGAGTGACAGATTTGAGTAGTGTTTCAGTATTCGGCCGTTAGATCGGTCAGATAAAAGTGACTCGTTACAGCAGAGATTGTAGTTTTCAGTCACGCGCTGCTCATCTGGGCCGTTCGTTATTTATCACCAATTAGCTGGTTAAGACTTAGTTTACGGCGATAATGCTATAACCGCACTTATAGGCGCGATTAGCTCAGTCAGTGCTTGAGGTATGGTAGCGGCATGGGAGGGGTGACATTGACATAATATGATGTGACAAAGTATATAAATCTGAAGGAGATCTGAAGTCTCACTGACGTTGGACATTAATAAAACACCCTCCCGTGGCCACTCTCATACCTCAAGTACTGACTGAATTAAGTGCTAAACCATTGCTTCCCAAAGTGGAGGGCGCGCCCCCAGGGGAGGCGCAAAGACCTTTAAAGCACAAAAAGGGGGCGCGGGCCATCTGTGTACTTAAGTATAAAAAACCTGCGACCGCTGAGAGAATGCATTCCAGACTGCTCGATACGACCAATAAATAATATTGACTGGAGGAGGGGAATTTTTGTATGGTCGAAAGGGAGCGCGTCTCAAATAAGTTAGGGAACCCCTAACCCCTACCTATAACGACGAGTCTCTTAGGGCATGCGAATGGCATATCAGGCTAGACAAAATAACATCTTAGGTGATAAGTTGTAATTTCTAAATCGCTTCACTCTACCTTTTTTGTAGGTAGTTACGTACTTTTTTGTACTTTTTGATTTGACCTAAACCTTCGATTGTTGAATTTAAGATCAACTGGCCACATCTGAAACACTTCGTGGTCCACGAGTTGATACTGTGCCATCTAATTAAATAGTTAGTATAGATATTGTACATTATAGGACTCTAACAAAATAGAGGTTAATATATACGCAACAGTAGTGTGTATTTGGGTACATAATAGATATTGATGACTTCACACAACGAAAAATGCGCTTCACTTAAGTAACGCATTATACAAACGTGATAAATTATCATCAATTAAATAGATATAGACATTCAAGTAATTAGGACATAAACGTGACAAAAAAATCAAGTCGAAATTAAATTAAGTATAGCTTTTTATTTTGGGATACTTTTTTATCTATATACTTATAATAAATCTGTAGAGAGGTCAATTCTGTACATGAAATACATTTTCAAAATAACCATCAGGGGGTGATTAGTGATCGATACTGATGCCAAAAATGCAATCAGTAAAATTTTTGTCTGTCTGTCTGTCTGTCTGTCTGTATGTATGTTCCTTATAGAAACAAAAACTACTCGGATTTTAACGAAACTTGGTACAATTATTCTTCATACTCCTGGGCAGGTTATAGGATACTTAGGAATTCCCACGGGAACGGGAATCAGCGGGAAAATCCTTTTGTATGAAAAATCTAAACCGCTTAAGTTAGACGCTTGAAATTTGGCATGCAGGTACCTCAGTAAACTTAAAGCTTAGTTACAACAGGATATTGCAAAATTCTCACGGGAATGGGAGTTAGCGGGAAAAAACATTTGTATGAAAAATCTAAACCGCGTAAGATAGACGCTTAAAAATTGGCATGCAGGTACCTTAGTAAACTTAAAGCTTAATTACAACAGGATATTGCAAAATTCCCACGGGAACGGGAGTTAGCGGAAAAAAACATTTGTATGAAAAAATCTGAAGAACCGCGTAAGATAGATGAAGGGGGGGTAAAACGAGATCCACACGTACGAAGTCGCGGGCGGCCGCTAGTTACTTACTATAATGCGTATGAGATAAGACAGCAAGCAAGAGAATAATGATTTATATCTTTTTTATGTAGTAATTGTATTTTCATTAACAAATACAACAGCGCGTTCTTAAAAAAATATATTTCAGCTGAGTTCCCACAGCATGTTACGATAATACCTTCTGTCTTCACTGAAAATCAAACTTAGACCACCTAATCCATTAAAATATGAAATATGCGCTTACGCACAACAATGCACTTTTACTAACCATCACTTAATTGTTTCAGGAACCAAAAAATGGCTTTGAAACTGAAATTCAAGGACGAACACGGGATATTACACATCAACATGAGTCCCACCTCGAGTCCCGAAGCGAAGGAGAAACCCGACCTCACGGACCCCAAGTTCGACTCAATCAACAACCGCTTCGGCCAATACGACCTCTTCGGAGGGAAATACGACTTGGAGGGGCAGTCGCTCTTTCGCAGCCGGTACAACAGTGTCGAGGAGGAGTTGGCTAACACGCCGTACGCGTTCGCTACCGAGCGACTACGCTTCAACAATTTAGACGTTACGATCAAAGCGCGCGGCGTAGACGCATCGCCCTCGAAGGATATAGAAGACGATCGGTTCTTCAATCGGAACGACGACGATCTATTCGGGCCTACGATCGATAACACCCCGGCGTTTACTGTAACTCAATTGATACACGCGCAGGATCGGTATTTTGATCTGTCGTCGAGGAGTAGTGTAGTGGACTCGCCTAGAGTGAATAGTTTGGGGTTGGAAGTGAGTGGAAGGGGGAAGGAAGAGGATGAAGCCTTCAAGGTGCTGTCTGCCGGGACGGCTGTGAAGGCGGTGCAGGTGGAACCACCGACCACTTTACCGTGAGTACCTACCCTCTTTTATAATTGACAAGTTTGATAGAAAACTGAAATCTTTCATAGTGATTAAAATGGTGCTAATTAAATTATCCGTGTTATTTTTTAATTAAATTGCAACAGGGAAGTGTTAAATTGTTAAATATTATTATGTAAGGAAAGAGGGAAGACGTTGCTTAGATTTATGTATTTGATAAAATAACCAATCAAGTAAAATTGACTGTGTATAAATTTATCGAATGCCAAGTAAAAAGACATATTGAAATGATTTACAAAAAGTAACGAAATACATTTCGTTACACAAATAAAGTCTTCGTTAGCAAAATAAAAATATATCAAAGCGATTTCAATGAAAATACATGACATAATGCTACAAATCAATCGACTATAACATAATAAATAAATAATTAAAAATTGTTTGTAAATAAATATTAATACCTAACGAAGAATTCCATCTATCCAGTTAGAAAATGTTTTAACACAAATGGTTACATTGTTGACAAATGCTACATTTTATCCTCGGCAATATGTATTATAAATCCCCCGAAATGTTTTATAATATAGGTAATTAGAACTATATAAAATTTGCTCGCGCAAAACAGCAATAATTGCATATTCATCATTCAGAATAACTTCACAGTTGAAATAATTACTTCATTATTATATAAACAACGCAATACGGATGCATAAATAACATTTATTACTTAGTATTGTAATTTATTAATTACGTGAATCCTCAATACATTTCTAAATGATGCGTGCGCGCAACGCAACTAAATAATATTACTAATTGTCAATATCTTACTTTCAGCGGATGGAACGAACTAGAAATCGCTATCTCTTACAAATTATTTCAATTTTGATACTAATTAAACGACTCTAGATGATGATGATAAATAATAATTATAATAGAAATGTATGTCAGTAAGTTTACATTCATGCGACAGGCATTTTTAAGTATTGTACATTTATTATACCAATGTTTTTCGTTTGGTGACAGATTTAGATACTAACGGTAATTTGTAGAACTTTCTTTACTTCGGGGTTTAAAATAACGGGTGTTTTTATAATAATAATAATCACTTAAAATGTAGTTTGATTCATGTAATCGTCATATAAGTAGTTGAACTACTTTTTTATTTAATGAATTAACTGAGTCTTAAGCAATAAAAAAGCTGAAGGTCAAAGCTAGGACAGGTATTTGACCACAATCGCACCTGATGTTAAGTTTCTTTTCACAAAGTTCTTCTCTCTATGTAATTTACATCTAATTGTAAATAAAATTGCGAGCACCAATCTAAAATGATACGGCTAACAAAGAATTTAGAGCTTTTTTGAGTGTGAGAAACTAAAAGATGGTAGGGCAAGCTATTTTTTAAGCAGAACAAGACAAACGCACCTGATGCTAAGTGAGATGCAGTCTAGGATGATAACTACATATATCTGCCCTGTAAGTGCCTATTCACTCTCGCCCTGCTATATTTTTAGAACCTATGCAACTGCTCTGAAATTGTTCTGAATTTAAATTGAATGTTTTGTTGGTAGTGCGACTACTGATCCAGTTTGAACTGTGACAATAATAAATAAACACATACATATAGCAACAGTTTACAACAGAGCCAGCCACTGGAACGGTTGAAACACGGCTGAAACGTGAATGTAGCGTCGAGCGTCTAGTGAATAACCACCTTAATATTATATCCTGCTTTGATGGTCGTAAATCATCCAATTTGTATCAAGAATACTTAGTATATCTATTTGTTATTCTTCATTTATAAGTAGGTACTAAATAGGTACTATTTATAATTTTAATTAATTGTACCATTATCACAAAAAATAATTATCAGTTTTTTTGCCAACGTTATGGTGATTAAACCAACCTTTTTCCTTATTAACCTGTGAATAAAACTAACCATTTTACATGGGGTTTTTTATACCTACAGATGGTCATTTTGTATAGTTTAGCGTAACGCAGTCATGGCTTAAGTATTTTAATCCTTCATAAACAAGTGGGAATATAGATCCCACCATATTTTGAACCTCTTTCGCATGTCTCAAAAAGAACAAAAAATTTGTTTTTGTTATGATTTTTACAATTATAAAAAACTCAATCAAAGATAGTAATATCACAACAAATTGCTATATACAGTCTCCACGATATAGAAAAAGTGTCTTAGTCATCCTGTATTTTGTTAATAACTTAACATCATTATAATCAGTGCGGAAGTTATGTCACCCGCATTTAATTTAACACTAATTCTAACACTTTATTAATTGTGTGATTAGTAAAAGAGGTGATTAGTGAATAAACATTTTCTCATCGACATTCAACAATGCTACAAACTATCATAATTAAGTATAATACCTACTAATTAATAGTTATGCAAAGTTTCACTTATAAAACTGAGCGAAGAGATACCGTTTCGAAAGCATGATTAATGATGAATTTAGTATAATTGTTACAGTTAGTTACTGAACGTGTACCTATGTATTAAGCGAAAATAAATATAATTGCTGTGCGTTGCGGTCCAGCTAAAGAAAAGCTCACATCAAATAATACAAAAAAAAAATTCAATAAACCTATGTTATATTATTTTGAGACATGTAATACGTTCTATTCATGAATAAATATATAAATAAAATAAATAAATAAATGTAAAGTGCCCCTTAAGGGCTACCTTTTTTACTGTATGTATTTTGACCTATAAATAAATAAATCAGTCTTGTAGGACTACTAGATCTATCCAAAATTCTTTAGAGTGTGATAGAGACACACTCTATAAAGATTTGTCGTCAATCTTCTTCTTTTCGTGTCGACAACAAACCTACACAATGTCAGCCCAAAACTCCGCCACAAGAGTGGCGTTGTCAGTAGCACTCATCAAACCCTCCTGAGTGCAGTTGCTTGGGCACTGGGCACGACAGTTATAAACAAGTTAAGAAAACTACGAGAAAAATAACTACAAATTAATAAAAAGCTAACATGCGGCTATACGAGTATTATATTGAAAGATAGATAATAATATTTACAAATGTATTTACAGGAGATCATCCTTTGGTTTAATATAAGATTTCGCGGGTCTTAACGCGACGTTTATTAATGAGTTACTGTTATATACTCACGGCATGACGTTACACAAGCAGACTGGCGGCTCACGTCACCCTGTGCGTCCACGCGCACTTTGAGCCCTTATAGTAATGTTTTTGAATAGTACGGCGACAGGGCTCTAATCAACGCTGTGCGTTCGATTTGCTGCTTCACTTAAGCAAGCATCGTTTGTGAATACGGGCGTAAGTGATTTAAGTCTTTTTTGTGTTTTGTTAAATTGTTTGTCCCACTGAAACACAAACAAACAAAATCGCCAGCCAACCAAAAGTGTGCCAAATAATTTGTTTCTTAAACATTTTCAATTTGCAACATAATGCAGTCAGGTTACTTCACAGTTTTAAAATGTAGTAACTTTTCGCCTAAATGGCCGGATGTGATAATAGCGTCGTAAGTTACAACAAAAACAAGTGGTTTGTTGTTTGTTACATTTTGTGCAATGTCACTAAATTGGTTACAATATTATACATTAGGTTCTGGTATTGTACGCTGTTGAACATACGATATCTTATTATAATAGTTATAGAGTTTTTTGATATTTATTTATTCAATTGTAAAGCAAAGCTACAGAGAACATACAATAACAATAAAAAAGATGAAAATTACAAAAAAATTATGTCTCGTGTCTAAGTTAAAATAGTGTAAGACAAAATTTAAAATTTAATACTACTCTTATGATTTACCGTATACGTTCTTCATCTTTTAAGAAAATAGATACATGTAACATAAAATAATACGAGTATAATTATAAAAGAGAAGCCTAAAAAAATATTTTAATTGAATACAATGTTTTTTTAAGAAAAATGTGTGTGTAATCTCTTTCTAATAATTAATGTTTTTCAATTTAATGCTATTAAATAGGAGTCGGTAAATATAAATTATAGCAAAAAATCAATATAAATTGGACATCTTGCACAACACACTGACACCAAATGTATTGTTCTTAACGAGTTTTATAAACAATCAAAGACAAATAAAGAAAATTGCTATAATGAATTAAATTAAATTGACGATTGGGTCATTTACGTCGCTAATGAAATAATGTTTAGCTCATTACGACAATTTCATATTTGTATTATACATAGTTTGTATTGCGTAAAGGACAGACGATAGTACAGTCACCCGTATTCACAAACGATGCTTGCTTAAGTGAAGCAGCCAATCGAACGCACAGTATTGAATAGAGCTCTGTGATTGGTTCGTGTGTCAACCTGTGGGACCACGCGCACTGTGAGACCTCATACTAATGTTTGTGAATTCGAGGGTAAGGCCAATCATCATCATCAATATCTTTTCTTAAAGGTTATTAAACCTTTGTTTGTCACCTGTCATCCGCTTTGCAATGGAGGGAAGTCGAATCTTAATTTCGAACTCCTATGTTCTTTTGATTAATTTCGTTGCGGGTCCAATGACAGTTTAACTTTCCCCCGGGACAAACTTGACCTTCACTGGTTGGGTTTTTATGGCGGTCAAGCTGTAGATCCTGGCTACACAGGAGTTGCAGTGGTGGGAACTAGAGGTGGGAATAGTCCCGTAAGGCTCGAATCAGATACTATCGATAGAGGAGACAGAGGTGGGTTGTAACAAAGTCAATTTTTCTGAATCTAAAACTGTTTGTCGAACTAGAAACTTCGCGAATTCCTTGCTTTTTCGACACTCTACAGTTTGCGTGAAACTGTCAGCTCGTTAACTATCTAGGTGTAGTGAAATAGACTATTTGACACCATTCCCCAATAATTTGAAATCACAACTTAATTATTAATATTAATAAGACACTTCATTATGGTTTTAAAAACTTAATAATTAATTTAAAATTACCTGTAAAATAATATTTTTGGTTGCATAGTTATTGACAAATATAGTTAAGACAAAATAGTGACGTCACAGGCTTGTATTGCCA